AAAAAAAAAAAAAAAACAAAAAAAAAACAAACCAACAAACAAACGAAAAAAATCAAATTGTTTTGCCTCATAAACTCATTGAGGACCCGCCCACCTTGGGAATGGCTCCACGATGTCTATCATCTTTCCTGCCTCAGGTAAGCTTGTCCTATACTGCGGTGGATGATAGGCATTCCTCCCAGCATTCTCCTTGGGGCTGTGTCCACTTCTGAGACCCTGGGATTGATCAATGAGACTCACTCCCTTCCCTCTTCTGGTCATAGGTCACCTGGAGGCAGGAGAGACTGGGAAGGACAGAGCTGGTCCCTAAAGGTCACACAAGAGGTTTGGTTTCTACCATGGAAAATGGGAGGAAGAAGCCAGGCTTGGAAGTGTCCCAGAAGAGGAAGGGAGGGAGGGCCTGGGCTGGCCAGCCCCACCTGGGTGCAAACAGTTGGAACAAAGACCCACCCCACCCTGGCTGCCCTGGTGCCTGGCCCTGTGGGATCCTAAAGACAGTGGTCACCCTGCTCAAGGCTTGTGGCTCCTGATCTGCCTGGGTGCTTTTGTCCACAAAATCCTAATTGTTTACCAAGTAATGACAGAGTGGTGGGAGTGTGAGGGGCCGATCCTCGTATGGAGGGCGGAATACAAACAGGCATCAGCAGCCCCTAGGGCTCGCTTGGGCTGTGTCCCTGTGGTCCTTAGCTCTCTCAGACCGCCAGTCTCTCACACTGGTTCGATAACTTTCTCACAGGTAACCCTCAATAGGCAAGGATGCATGAAGCATCAACCTATTCAGCAGTCACTAGGGGAACACCTATCCCAAGAACGCAATGGCATTGAGTGTACACAGAGGGAAGCCACTCACTTGCTGGCTGCCTCTTGGTCTGCCTCTCAGCACCTGAGACTGTGCCTGGAATGGATGCTCCAAAGTTTGGGGCTAACAGGAGAAAGGAAATAAGCCAGGGAGGGCCTCATGGCCTCGTGTAAACTTACTCTGCGTTCTGGGCTTGGATCCTGGCCTCTGGGTCCTCTGAAAAACTCTAGGTCTCGGATGTGGGAGTTCCGCATTCCAGATTCCAGATTCTAGGCCTCGTAAGCCAGGGTCTGGAGTCTGATGTCTGGGTTGAAGGCCTCATTTTAGGGTTCTTGCGAGGTTCTAGGTTCTGAGCTCCAGGAGGGCTCTGGATGTGAGGAACCTGGCTCTGGACTCTGTGGTTCTGGGTTTAAGAGTCCCATGCTCTGAGCTCTCCAGTTTGGATGTGGGTGTCCAGGCTCTAGACTCTGAGCTATAGATCCCTAAGTTTTTGAGTCCAGGGCTGTGATTCCTGATTCTTGGGTTTAAACTACAGGTTCTAGACAAGTGGCTGTCAACTTTGCTAACGCTGTGACCCTTTAATACAGTCCCTCATGTTGTGGTGACCCCAACCATAAAATTATGGCCCTGGTCCACAAGGACCACCATACTGGCCTAGCCTCCTGCTCACTGCAGCCACAGTGAAGACAGGAGCAGCTTGCTGTCTTGTGCCCAGATTTCAGCTATAGGGTTGTGTGTTTATTTGATAAAGTATGGATCTGGGAGTAGATATGCATGCATGTGTGTGTGGTGGTGGGGGGTTAGCAACCCCCTTTTGCCACACACTGTTATAGGTGTGAGAAGCCTCATCAGTGAGAAATAGGAACCACTTCAAAGGAGGTCATGTTCCAGGTATGAGATGTAATGATACTTCTTCTTGGCTCAGGGCAAACTTGTCTGGCTCAAAGTTCGGAATGGACAGTGTAGAACAATGATTCTCAACCTGTGGGTTTCGACCCCCTTGGGGATTGAACAACAATCCTTTCACAGGTGACACCGTTGGTGGCCCAGGACACCAGTGACTGCCTGCATCTGGGATCCACACATTGGCCAAGGGAAACCTTGATGAAAGATTCTAGGCATGTGATTGGTGACAATTGCTGAGATCACTGCCAGGGACAACTTTGTGTACAGGCCAGTGATTGGACACATCACTGACCGGATGCAATGATAGCATACTGGTGATCGGTTAGCAATCAGTGGCAGGGTGATCAAGTTTGCCAATGAACAGATTTGGCAACCTGGTACCCTAGAAACCAGAGCTGACCACACCTGGGGGAACCTGAGTGGTGCCAGGGCAGTTATTGTCTCTCTGAAAAGCCCAAACGGGTACCTTGCTGGGCTCTCAGAAAAGGAGGCTGGAGAAGAGCCCTGTCCACACCCATGTACCTTCCCTGAAAGACAAGAGACAGCAGAAACAAGTTCACTCGACAGCTCAAGCCCCATCAGGGATGTGGGGTCTCAGGGACCCACGCGAAAGGCTGCAGCATTCACAAAAAAAGTATTTTATTATTTTTAACAGTATTCACTTTAAAGGAATAGGAGGGTAGCATACAATTTTTACAGACAATATTTAAATGTTGTACATAGTTAACAATAACTTAGGTCACTAAACCAAAATAAAACAAGCCCAAAACATAAAAACAGAAAATACTGCCGATTCTTTTTCTTATGCGGGTACTAGCACAAAATAAGTTACTTCCAGTGACGGTGCGCTGCAGCAATTGGACGCCAATATTGCACTTAGTTGACTTAGCACAATTGTCTTCCCGGGCTAGGGGCCCCCTTGCTGGCTGCTGCACCACCGCCACCGCACACAGAATCGGAGCTTGGGACACATTTTATGTACAGCTGTACCTTGAAGGATCCAGCCAGCCACAACAGAACAGAACCCCCGGGGATCGTGGGGCCACTGCCTGCCCGTCCCCTGTCCCCCAGCAACCAAGAGCATAAGATCCCTCTTGTCCCCAGCCTCCTGCTAGGGCCCTGGGATCCAAGAACTATTCAAGAAAAAACTGTGAAGCTCAGCCTTGGTTTGTAGGTTTTATTCCTTTTCATACTGGGGCTTCTGTGGCAACGTACAATTGACTGGACCCAAAATGAGTTTAAAAATAAAACCACTCATCAGTGAGTTAAGCTTATGCAGTTTGGGTTTTGTTTTGAATATTTTTCTTATTTATCTTAGAGTGGAAGGGGATGAAGGGGTTAGCAGAAAAAGGATGTATTTACAGGGGTCCAGCTGGCCTAGGCACAGGCCGCAGCTTGGCCATCTGGGTCACACCAGCTTTGGCCTCTCGAAGCCAAGGGAATGATCTGGGAGACGTTTCCCCTTTCCAGAGAATGCTTCCTTCCTGTGACCCAGCCCTGGCCTGGGAATCTGCGCAGGACCGCCTGCGATTGTCTCTGCCCTCAAGGGCTGCGTCAGGGCAGGGGCTACCCTCCAGGCAGCGGGGGAGAAGGCTCAGGCTGAGGCCCCGTAAGTCTGCCCCCCCCCAGAGCCCTGACTGATGGCAGTAGGCCCCAAGGAAGGACCCAGAGAACACAAACAGTCCATGCCTCCATGTCCTTGTAAGAAATAAGAGCAAAATAAATTATTATTTTTTTTTGCCTACTCCTTTCTCCTTCAAAAAATGGTTTCATTTTTCTGTCCCCAGTCTCCTCCTTTTCTTGCTATAAACCTGTCTCTTTTGCTCTCCAAGCAACTGTCGGTGAAAAAACTTTTTTGGGCAGCACCCAGGGCGCACACAAGCCGTAGCCCAGTTAGAAACATTCACAGTAATGGCGGCACAAGGCTGGGAGTCCTCCAACGGGAGGTGGCTTCGGCCAGGCCAGGCTGGCAGGAGGAAGTGGGTCTCTTGGGATGGGCGGGAGCCAGAACTGTGTTCCACCCAGCCTGGGAGTGCCCGGCCTCACTCTGGTTCTGCCAGCCACCCTCGATGTCCATGTCTGTCCAGAGGCGGGAAGCTGTGCCTAGCCCATGGCCGTCACCATGCTGGATGGGTGGGGATGGCCGAAGGGGAGAGTGGAGGAGGGGTGGATGGGTGTGGGCGTGGGCAGGATGTGTCCAGAGTGGCTGAAGGGCGGGAGGTGGCCCACGGGTGCCATGTGTCCAGCCAGGGCAGCCGCACTGAATGGGGATGACTTCTCCTGCATGCACTTGGAGAGCTCCTCAAAGCATTCAGCCCCTTTCTTGCTCTTCTTAGACTTGCTGGACATCTTCCGGTTCCGGGTCTGGATTCCTTCCTTCTTCATGGTCAGTGGCCTGTTAACCTGGGGGCAGCCATAGAGCCTTTAGGATCCCTTCTCCACGGGTCAAGGGAGACTGGGTCACATATATCCCTAGGGTGTCAGGAACTGTGCCTTCAGCCGAGCCTCCAACGTCACTCACCAAAGTCCCCTTAAGCCTGCGTGGTCACCATTTCAGGAAAGGAGACCCCATGGCCTAACAGCCCATACCGTTGTTTTCAGTCCACTAAATGCCTGCACGGCTTTGCCTCCCCCTAGACACCTCTCATTCTCCCCTGCCCCTCACTTACCCTAAGACAGACAAATTCCCTGCCGGCCCTGCCCCCACCGGCCCCACCTCCAAAGCAGAGGCATCCTTCTTACAAGGAGCCCTTCTGGCCCTCTTGGGCTGGCCAAGCAGGCTGCCGGCTGCGGCTGCCGCTTCCCAAGCCAAGCCAAGCTGGAGACCGTGGCCGGGCTGCACAAAGAGCTGAGGTCCCTGGGGAGGGGTGGGGTGCACTCACATTGTGCAGCTTGTAGTAGAGGCCACAGGCGTTGCACACAGGGTCCCCGTTGGCGTTCCGGCGCCATAAGGTGGTGGTTGTCGTCTGGCAATTTGCACAACAGGTACCCGCTCTTCTGGCAGCCGACTAGGAGGGGGGGGGATAGCGTCAGAGGGCCCTCTCCCACGCCCCACCTTGACCTCCTCCAGGGCCCTTAGCACCACCCCCAGTCTCACCACTTAGCCCAGGAGCAGTGGGTCCCACAGGGGAATCAAGGCATCTCTGACGAAGGAATGTTAGAATTTGAGAAGTAAACTAGTTGGGAATCACAGAGCTTTGGAATAAAGAGCTCTTAGAATCCAAATGTCTGTAAACACCGACGGGAAAAGCAGCCTCTTCCCCCAACTGCCTAGCGTCTAATTTCTCAGGTGAGGAAACTGAGGTCTAAGGACAGTTTAGCCCTGTGGCCATCCTGAGTGGCTGTCTTCAGCTGCACGTCTCCTCCCCCACCGTTCCCCCTGGAAATCCAGAAGCCTGGTGAGTCATGGCGGCTGGGAGGCCAGGGCAGCGAGACCCTGCATTGCCCAGGAGAACCCAGAAAGGCCTGGGGAAGTGTGAGCCCCGGGATTCGAGTGTGGAGCTGCCTTGTCCTATACAAGATCTGCAAGCCACCAAGAGAAATTTAAATTGAATTTAACTACAGTTTAGAAACTAAACATTCAGTTCCTTTGACTGCACTAACCACATTCCTGGCGATCAATAGTCATACTAGCCAGAGGCTTCCATACAGGACCGAGGAGCAAAGACATTCTCATTTCTCACCTGCTGCCTTTACCAGACCCTACTCCCAGCCCCCCAGGAAATGCCAGTCAGAGGCGGGGAGTGGAAGAGAGGAGGTCTGGTCTCTAGAACAAGGAACTCAAGGTCCAGCGAGAAAAGCCTTTTCCT